TTAATTTATATATACCATTAGGGCGCTGACCTGACCTCGTCACTACTCGACCGAGGTTAGGCTTGGCACTTACTAGGTACCGTCGTGGTGTACTCATGCTACTCTCCTGCACATAATTTCGTGTGCAGATCTAGGTACCTCCTACCAGCCTTGCTATTAGTTGCGTACTTGCTGCTGCTCCGGAGACTTTAAGGTATATCTGCCCGCGTTCGCAGACCTCGGAGTCCCCCTCTATCCCTTTTATGTTGTTCCTCCTTACTTCTTTTGGTTATTGATGTATAGAAACAGTTAGACGAAATCTTAGAAGCTTGTGACTTATGGTGTTCCGGGTCTTCGGAGAATTTTGTGTATATGTTGAGAGTTGGTTATTATACATGCCGAGCGGCATTTTTATCAGTCATTTAATATTTGTTGTTGTTAGTTGTTAAGGTTTTTCTTTCAATTATTTGGTTATTTCCGCAAATATTAGGCTTACCTATTCGTAGAGACTAGGTGTCGTCACGACATCTCACGGAGGGAGGATTGGGTCGTGACACCACACACCCGTCACCTAGCATGTGCGTTACCTCAACATCACAAATAACATGGTTCCCATGGATAATTACCCGTAATTCCAAGTGTAGAAATGTTCCTTACCTCGAACAAATCAAATCCAATATCGGGCAAGCCAAACAACACTCTAGAAACACCACCCCACACAAATCAACCTCCAAATAGCTCAAAACTGCCAAAAGCAACTCAAAATCATCAAATAATACCAGAGAAAACAAACCCAAACGTTAAAGGTCGAATCTTTAATCAAATTCTCAAAGACAACAAAAAATTCAAACCGGCCCCGCACCTCAGAACCCGACAAACTTATAAATTCCGACAACCCATTCAAATACAAGTCCAACCATACTAATTGTATTAAAATACGACTCTGAATCGATGTTAAAAATTCAAATATTCACTTTAGGGAAGTTTAGACTGAAACCCCTAAATTCTCTTTAAAATTAATAATCCAAATGCCAAATCAAAGATATATTCATGAAATATAATCACAAGCGAGTCAAGAATACTTACCCAAATCCATGTGGTGAAAAACCTCTCCAAAATCGCCCAAAACCAAGCTCCAAATCTCCAAAATGTGATAACATGAACAACCCTCAAAATAAATAGAGTCTGCCATCACTTTTGCACGTGCGGTCCAGGAGCCGCTTCTGCGAAAAACACTCAGGCAACCACATGCACCTGCGGGTTCCCCACTTTTGCGACATCGCAGGTATGATGCACCTTCCGCTTTCGTGAAGCTCTCACCCAGCCTACGTTCCCACTCCTACGCAACATCGCCCGCGCAGATGCGCAAAACTTCCGCACCTATGATAACTTCCGCAACTTAGCCTTTTCGCTTCTGCTCCTCCTTGACCGCTTTTGTGGATCCTCACCAGCGCCTAAGATTTTGCAGGTGCGATAACACCAGTTCTCTGCCAAAACCATCCATAACAAACATGTTTCCAAATGATCCGAACTACATCTGATGCTCACCCGAGCCCCTTGGGATCCCATTCGAACATACCAAAAAGTCACAGACCTACTCGAGGCCTCAAATCACACATAACAATACCAAATCAATGAATCGCACTTCAAATCAAACTAAATAAACTTTTGAACTTTCAACTTTCAAAACTCGTGCCGAACCATATCAAATCAACTCGGAATGACCTCAAATTTTGCACACAAGTTCCAAATCACCTAACGAACCTATTCTGATTCTTGGAACCATAATCTGGATCTGATATCATCAAAGTTAACTCCGATAAAACTTATGAACGTTCCAAACCTTCAAATAGCCAACTTCGCCAACTAGAGCCAAAACCTTCTAGAAGCCTCCAAATGCAAATTCGGGCATACTCCCAAGTCCAAAATCATCTTCTGAACCTAATGGAACCATCAAAACTCAAATCCGGGGTCAAATACACAATATTCTAACTTGGTCAACTCTTCCAACTTAAAGCTTCCTAGTTGAGAATCATTCCTCCAAATCAATCCCGAATCACCTGAAAACCAAGACTGAAGATTCACACAAGTCATAATACATCATATGAAGCTACTCAAGACTTCAAACAGCTGAACAAAATGCAAATGCTCAAAATGATCGATTGGGTCGTTAGAATTTATTGACCGCCTTTACTTGCTTTATGATCTTGTATGTTATTAGATAGCTACTTTTATCCGTTTTTTGTCTTTAATTATGTAATTCTCTTATTTTATTTTATTTTATGTATACCATATTTGGTTGTAGTTGTACATTTATATTATTATTGGGCGGGATCGGGTTGCATACCGAAACGGATATTGGTATTCCTGTTTAGGATCGGATTGCACGTTGCACTGGTATTTTTGTGTGTGTGTGTGTGTGTGTGTTTGGATCGAGTTGCGCACCATAATGAAAAAGACATATTGACTGTTCATAACTGTTGGTTTCGTGTTATATTGAGAAAATTGAGCTTGATGTTATTATGGGGGCCCCTATTATGTATTTCCTGTTCTATTTTTCAAGTTATACTTGTTTTTTTTATTTGTTTGTCGTTATATTAATATATTCGTACAGGTTTATAGTGAGTGCCTTGTTATAGCCTCGTCACTACTTTGTCGAGGTTAGGTTCGGCACTTACGGAGTACATGGAGTCAGTTATACTCATGCTATACATCTGCACTTCCTGTGCATATTCTGGTGTTGGTCCCAGCGGCGTCTAGCAGGGTTCTGCTCGGATCATATCTGCACCTGGAGACTTGAGGTAGAACTGCACGACGATCGCAATCCTTGAAGTCCCCTTCCTTATCGAGTTTTACTGATTATTTTGTTTCAAATAATTGTATTTTTATTCAGCCATTGGTTGTAGCACTTCTAGTATGCTCATGTACTTGTGACACCAGATTCCAAGATTTGGCTAGTCGGTGTTTGGAGTATTTATTTATGTTTTTGACACTTTACAGCTTCATTTCTTAGTAAATTGCTTTCAAATTGGTCTAAAAATAAATAGTTGTGTACTAATATTGGTTTGCCTATCAAGTAGACGTTGGGCGCCATTACAATCACGCGGTTAGAATTTCGGATCGTGACATCTGCATTTTACATCATGACCATTCCTCCTGAGTTGCCTTGAGCCACGACTTGGACAAGGTGAGAAAAGCCAAAGTCCCTAACAAGTCATGGTTTGACATGTTGGTTTCCAGTAAGGCAACCAGGAAAGGCTTATTATAGTCTAGCATCAATCTGAAGGTTCTTCTGAACTCATCGTTCGCCGCTCCTCGGTAGTTCCAAACGATCATGGTCAATGATCTATTGATGTTTGAGGACTCCCTCCCTGAACATGGGTTGGGATCAATGGAAAAGAGGGCCCTGCCATGTTCATGTTGGCTTGATTGGTCCAGTTATTAGTATATTGTTGGAATCATTACTGCCCCATACTTGTATATCTTTGGGGGACGCATTAATACCCTTATATTTATCGAGTATTTCCTCAAATACTGAGGGAAACGCAAGATGTGTCTTTTTTCTTTTCTTTCATTGAGCACCAGATTTTTGATGTCTTTAACATGTCGTATTCCACTCTCCTTGTTGTTGAGGACCCTCCTCTTCTTCCTCCTCGTCCCTCTGTAGTTGAGCTTGCTGGGAGGGTGGCTAATTGGGAAGGATGTTGCTGCTTCCATAATTAATTGTTTTGCTAATCTTTTTCCTTTCATCTTCTTTTTCGCCAATAAAATTGATTAAGAACAATCCGTCGAATCAAATAAATGATAATTTTTAGTGATTATAAGGTGTTTTATACAGGAAAATATTTAGTATTATTTTTAATGAAGCTATTTTGAATACTTTTTAAAAAAACAAAACTCATTGAAACTGTTATAGTAATATACTTGAGTTTATTTTATTAATATAATTCGAATTGTGTTCTTTTTTTAAAGATGTTGTTAGTAGTATTTTATTTATTTGTTCACTTTATATAGTGTTAAATCGCTTACGAAAAATCATACTTACACTACTAGTAATATGAGTAGATACTTGTTTTGTTAATCCATTTTGCCATCCCCACTTGAGCGTTAGTAAGTTTTTACTTTAAATAAGGCCTCTTCAACCCGCTGTAACAAGGAAATAGAAATATTTCAATGTTGTAATTTCTATTGTTATTTATGGAAGAAAGAGGTAAAATAAAGGGTGGTGAGATCTTCAAGAATCAAAAGGTAAAATAACTTGAGACAAAAGGTGCGGAACGGCCAAGCAAGGGCCACCTCAATTTCTTACCCAGCATTTATGTTGGAGTCCGTGACATCCTTTTTATCTCGCATTCATTCGTTTTTCATTTTAGAGCACCGAAAGAAAGCACTTTTCCAGCAACTTTTGACCTGAAAAAAAGTATGGTAATCAGAGATAAATTAGATTATTTATTAGAATAATCTTTGACAATGTTCAATTTCCATTGCGAAATTAGCAGGTCGACTAATTTTTGTTTTATGCACAAGTAATTTTTCGTATGATCGGGTTAAATTAATTTACCGCAGTTGTAATTCTTCATTTCAAGCTTATATGATAAAAAAGATCAAGAGCTGGTTCAGTAAAACTGTAAAAAACTGCTTATTTTGAAAAGTATTTTTATTTAAAAGTATTTTTGGTTAAACGAAAAAGAAATACAAGGGCACTTTGTTGCCTAACGATCAACGAATTGAGGTTTTTGGAGATTAGGGTTTAAATGCCAATAAAAATAAAAGACGCTAAGTGATTTTTTACTATATATTCAAGCATGTATTTATGTTGGTAAAAACTAGCAAATACTTAGTCCATCAGTCCAAAGTCTTGATACGTAGAATTATTCAATCTCTCATATACAATAATGTTATTTATTAAATAAAGAAAGAAAAAAAGAATCTCCGTAGGATTCATATAAAATAGATATAAAGTGTATGGATAAACGTATAAGTAATATTATAATGTTACTGGGAAAAAGCTTGGCTAGCTGCTGTCAAGATTTAAAAATGGGAGGATTAAAATATTTGTTCAAACTTCAATGGCACAGACCACGCATATATTGTTTGGAACTTGGTGGTATGATTCTCTAAACTATAACGTCAGTTATATACTAAGCATTTTAGATCTGACCGAAATTAAACCCTTGTGTTTCATAGATTCAAAGAGAGAAAGAAAGCAAAAAATGGTTTACTCAAAAACTGAAAAATCATCCGCCTGAGAAATTAATAACAACCCTGCTGCTTGTGGTTCATCTGCAGTTTTGAAGTTTGCATTGGATGCAACCCTCCCCAGGTATGCTTATTTATATTGCCATTTTCGTGCTTCATGTTTCAAGCTTTTAATCATATATTTTTCTGAATAACGGTGGAGTGATTCTACGTACCCACCGAAGAGATTACTTCATCTTCAACCACGCATTAATGATCTTTTGTTTTAAATTCATTTTCATATAGATATGGTTATGTTGCTTGTATTCATGTGTTTCGTTTTCCCAATTTGCAATATTCCAACTTTATGTTTTCTTTTGTCCCCTTTAGTGTTTCTTACTTTTCTAGTTATGCAGCTCAAGGCAAATTTTCATTTTCACTTGTCTTTTAGCTCACTTTATTACCCAATCAATCATCACTAGGATGAAAGAATAAATCATAGGCAAATTGAACTTCATAAATGAGTCTTACGAATTTTACTGAAATCATTCCTTTTGATTCAAATTAATGTATATATTAAAAAAGATTTTATAATGTATAATAATATAACAAAAATCATACTAGCGTTTTAACCTGGCATTCATGACTGAATATAGTAAATTTTCAGTAGTAAGAAACTACTACCAAGGAGATAGCTGTTTACCTGGCTCTAGCACAACATACCATACACAAATTAAATGTTTTCTCAATAAGAAAATTTTGGACCTATCCTTATTAAAAATATCATGCAATCCATTAACTTATTGTCATTTTGACTTGTAGCGCATCTGTAACGCCACCTGACCCTCCACAAGAACCCACCCTGCTTGAATTTAAGTTATATATACATTATAAATTTCTTTTTTCCGTGATTAATGTAATTTAATTAATTATAGTATGTTATTTATTATTTATTTTAGATTACTAAATAATGCGTATTAAATGGAGCTCTATGTAATTATATTTAAGTAACCCGATTATATTGATATCTCTTACCCTTTCAGTTACGACTTGAACTCTCTAATAATTAAAGAATCTGAAAGTCTATGTTACTAAATTAGGATTAACAGTTACTTAATGTTATAGGTAATTTTAATTTGGTCATACCCCACTCACTGCACACTAGTTAAACTCTTAAAACAAGCATCAGAAAACGATATTTAAAAAAAAAAAATAAATAAAGTTAAAGGGTTGCTTTATGTGAAAACATTACTGCTAAAGTGCCGTACTTTGACCAAGTCAAATAGCATTAGCAAAACAAAAAGACAAGCATTAAACCCTTGAGTTTGTTTTATTTTTAGAGTAATGCAAAGTTCATGTGAATGGTACTGTGTAACTCCTAGGAACTTTAATGATCTTGATTTCTTCAAAACTGAATCCATTTAATCTTTAATAATTTGTAACTGTCAAATAAGTTGAGTAATTACGAACAGTTGATAATTAACTCGGTGGCATTTGCCGCAGTCTCTTCCATTAAATTAACATTAGAATTACACTTAGCATGTTCATACTATTGTTTTATCAATGCGGCTTTCGGTGTAGCAGTACCTAGGTCTATTAAGTTAAGGAGTTCCTCATATTAAAGATATCAATGGTAATAAAAGTGATTTAACTTATGTACACTCATTATATAAAATATTAATACGCTATTAATGTAACTTAACTCATTGTAGTATGTCATTGTTCCTATTTTCTAGCTTACGACTAATAAATCATGATCAAAATAGTAATTAGTTGCATGTACATAGTTACCTTCTAAATGATTAGACAATGTCAAAAATATTACCCTCTCAGCGTACTAAAGTTAAAATGGATAATAATAGGATTTAAGTTGTATACACTGATATTGTAAGATTTTTTTTCACTATTAGTGTAATTTAAATGGTTATAGCATGTTATTATTCTATTTTTCATGGTGTCATATCAAAAAAATTATGAAGAGTTACTTGTTGTTGTAAGTTAAATATAACCCTGTTGAAACAAAAACTTTACATGTTTGTGCACACTTTTATAGAGTTTTAAGTTCTACTCATAGATAATATATAAATTTTTTACATTATCAAGTTAAGTTAACTTTATAACGATATGTAACTTCTCATAGCAAGTCTGGTATGGTGATTGAAAAATAATAAACCGAATTAAATTATATTGACGATTAGTGTAAAGAATTTTTTTAATCAATAAATTGTAACCTATGACAGTAAGTTTTTACAATTTTTATCAAATTAACAATTAATTCTTATTAAAAAGTTTACATATAATTACCTAATAAATGATATAATCTGCTATAACCTATAATTATTAAATGATTGTATATAAATATTTTTATACATAAAACTTAAACCTATAATATAATAGCTTGCTATAACCTATGAAAGTGAAATGATGGTGCAAATACTCTAAACTATCAATAGTTATAACCTAAAAAAGTATTGACGAACTTTACCATCCATGTTACTATATGTTTGAATCGTAATATAAGACCGTGAAGAATTAGAAAGAAAGAAAAAAAAAACAAATCTGGGAAACACCCCATGTGGAATCTCCACATACACTGCATTGGGAGTAGATTCTTGTGTTCCATTTTTATGCCTCCCTGATCTCACCTCGTGGTCATACTATACTTTACTGTCAGCATGTGAAGCTTGGGCTAATTAATTAGTGCTACTAATTATAATACTTCTGAACTTCACAACACTAAATGGTACTCCCTCCGATCCACAATAAGTGACCAATTTGCTTTTTTATTTTGGTCCAAAATAAGTGTCCATTTATATAATCAAGAAAAAATTCAATTTGTTTTTCCAAAATTACCCTTATGTACGTATCCCTAAACAGTCATTTACTCCTCACATTTGAGAAGAGAAGTAAGTGCTACTATAACTATGATGCAATATTTAATTAAGGATAATTAAGTCACACTAACTATTTTTGTCTAGAATTTAGTATTTCTTTAATGGGTGTACCCAAAGCAAATTAGTCACTTATTGTAGACCGGAAGGAGTATACAAATATAACATTTCTAGTCCACATTGGAGTTATACAACTTGATTATCACGCTATGAATGTAAGATTCTTGTTCTAAAACGATGGAAAAGATACATAAATATATTTGTTCAATGCTAGATCTCGTATTCCCTTTTTTATAACTATAATTTTAAAGGTAATTTGTGCATCTCAATTATTTCATCATATCTCGCGTTACTCTTTTTTTTGTCACAGGGTTAACCTATTGCACATATGTAATTTTACTGTAGATCGATGTTACCAGCCGCGTCCTCTAAATAAGGGTAATTAATACCAGTCGAACCACTGCACTTGTAATTTTACTGTAGATGTTAGTGAGTTCGTATATTTTGAAGGAAGACATATCACGTGGTTATAATTTTTGACTTGTTCAGAACTGAAAGTAAAAAATGAGTACAAGGATTGGTGAAGATAGTAAACTTCTTTTCTTTTTCTACCCTGTACTTGCATTAGCTCCCGACTAATCCGGATTTACGCCGCATTAGGTTGATCAATAGGAGAATGTTTCCTATCAAGAATTTTTTCATGCTCTAAACTTAAATTTGAGACCTCTGATTAAGTGTAGAAAGACTTATCCATCCTACCATAACCCTTGAAGGTGAAGCGGATAAACTTTCATTTAAGGACAAAAAGGGTTGATGGAGTACTTGTAGTAGGCATTGTCCAATGAAAATTCAATGCAAGAACAAGAGGGATCATTGATCTATGTCCAGTGAAAAAGATAGAAACAGTTGAAAAGCTAATATATATGTTGTATCCAAGACATGAAATGAAGTATCGAATTTATGACATTCCTAATTGGAGAATGATGTTACACAAACTTGGATTCTGTTTGAAGGGTCTCTATCTAAGTCACATTTCTTACATTCCCTTTTAAGCTCGCTTCATTCTTATGGTGACAAATTGTATCCCCACCAACACTATTCATAATGACAAAATTCCAATTAGCCATAGCCCATAGGGCTCATAGCCTTTTTCCATTACACTCACCATCATGACCTAATTGGCGGAAGGGGTGTATTGTTTATGGATTCAACTTAAATTACTGATCCCTCTGTTTCAATTTAAATGAGGTAGTTTGACTCGGCATGAAATTTAAGAAAAAAAGAAGACTTTTAAAACTTGTGGTCTTAAAAGCTTAAGGGATAAAAGCTTTGTGGGGCTATGACATTTGTGTGGCTATAAAAGCTTCTCATTAAGTATAAAATGGGTAAAATGAAGAATTTAAAGTTGAATATTTCAAATTGTATAAATGTGTTACGTTATTCTTTTTGGAACTGAAAGTGTGTCATCTAAATTGAAACAGCGGAAGTAGTATTTTGAACACGAAACATATATGTGGGAAAGATTACAGTAGTTTCACATATATTAACTTTAAATCCTGAGTCTAACTCTGTTGCTACACTTAGGTTCCTAATAGGTTTTTTACAGTTAATTGAGCCATCATAATAAAGGGAAATGGAAAATTAATCTTCTTGTTTTTTCAAAAATATATTCACGCAGGTTTTTTTTCTCCTTGCAATTATATTACCACATGTCTTAGGGAAAGGACAGGAAAAAGGAGCATAAAGATTCCAGGGTTTTTACTATAGTCAACCAAACCATATTTTTAACCTTGGGTACGGAGGGGACAGATTGGTAAAAATATATAGTAGGATATGTAATAATGTAAGGAATTCTTCACCACGCTTTTTACCACATCTGTCCTCTTAAATTCCTCTGTGTTCTCAGGCAGTTAAAGTGAGCATGGAGAATTTTTTTTTTTACCCTTCGTTACTTTTTTATGTAAATATTTTTACCCTAGCATGCACTAAATACATGGACCTCATTACCCACTTCGGAAATACAAGAATAATTGCATGGGAAGAAACATTTTATCTTGTTACTAATAGTAGTAGTACGTACCTTTGAAAAACCATTAAGAGTCAAAAGAGGGCTCCCAAAGTCCTAGCACACACAATTCCCGAAAGCTGATCATCCCCAGTCCTGCCTTGCAGTTGCAGTCATTTTCGTTGTATGTGCACTTGAGAATTATATATGTGCATTTCGAATTTAAATTTGACGGGTTCAACCTTTATATTTTACTCATTTTACTTTTACAGGGTTAAGAACTTAATATTTGTTGAAGTTTATTTTAGTGTCTTTCACACATATATCTACGCGTCAGGTAAAAATATTGTATTCAGTCATCTTGCATCCAGCTTGTGCATAGGAGTGGACCTAAAGCATAGAATACTGGTTCCCGGGAATCCAGTAACTCTTGCGTAGACCCTATATTTATATTAAGCAATTCACTTAATATTTGTAAATATCTAACTGTGAACCCAGTTATTATTGCATATTAATCTGAAACTATGGTAGGAACCCATAAGCCTCAAAACCTGGATCCGCTTCTGCTTGTGTAGAGTTAGAGGCGAGTTCGGGATTTGATCTTGGGTTCAACCTTTGAGAATCTTAAATTGAACACGTTGTTTATATTTTAAAGTAAGGGTTTAGAATTTAAATTTTGTTGAAATTCTAGTGGTGTTTTTAATGCATAGTCTTGTTCTGTGTGGAAGTACTCAGTTTAGCTAGACCCTATAAAAAGAGGTTGCATCTGCCTCTCTGCTTGTTGTACCATATATATGTGTACATTTTTTACAATATGTAGAGAAAAAACAGAGGGTCTTATATAAAATCACAGAATAAATGCATAGTCTTTTTGATTCCTTTTGCAGGGCTAGTCTATCAGCGAATCATCAAACATAGGAACTGAGTTTTAGACAGTGACATGGATGGATACTCATGTCCAAAAGCTCAACGTAACAAAAAGGGTAGTAGAAATGGAAGTACCCCTTCAAGAAATGCCATCACCACGAACGGCAAGAACCACCGGCACACGGTGGTGGACGAAGATGATGGTGGAGATCCGATTGAATGCAGCGGGAAATCATGTAAGGCATGCACCGGCAGCTTAATCGCGGATTGTGTAGCGGTTTGTTGCTGCCCCTGTGCTGTAGTAAACATTTTGGCACTAGCATTTCTCAAGATTCCTTGGATGGTGGGAAAGAAATGCTTGCGAATGGCGAAAAAGAAGAAGTTGGAGAAGAAGAGGAAAGATGACAAGAGTTGCTGTTACAGTGCTGACCGTGTAATGTATGCGGACAGTGTAGAAGAAGAAGGAGAAGTAGGGACATTGGGAATGGTAAATTCCCAATTTGGGGAGGAAGAGTTAAAGGACAGTTTTCGTGCAAGAATTGATGCAGAAGAAGTTTGGTTAGAGTTGTATCGAGTTGGTCATATGGGTTTTGGCAGGGTTTCTTTCACAGGAATTAATTCTTCTCAAGGTAAGGCCAATTAGGTCAAAAATTGTGACAGTTGTTTTCTTTTTCCTTTCTTCAAGCATCTGGTTTCGGAATTAATTGACCCGACTCATCTGGATTTGCTCCATAGAAAGCGTACTATGAGGGTTTTAATGCTCTCTATCAAAGAAAATACATTTCCAGGACGAACTCAAGACCTTTAGTTAAGGGTGAAGAAAATCTTGAAACTGTTTTTGGTTCAGGCTTGAGGACAAGATGTGCTTCCAAATACAGAATTTACCATTTAGCCTTGAGACTGAATATTGGTGAACCATGACTACAACTGCAAACTACTGTGCCTCAGTTTCAAGTCAAAACCATGAATTTTGAAAGAAATTAAAGAGGAATATACTACTAGTACTAGTTTAGTGTGTTAGCCAGATTAGTCAACACTTATCTCTTTCGATGCCATTTACATGTCAAAAACATCACATTGTTTCTTCTTTGTGAATTGTACAGTTAATATTAGTAATGTTTTCTTGGAATAACATTGCTAATTTTGAAGGATAATGAAAGAGGAATTTACTAGTAGTACTAGTTTAGCATGCTTCATCATGTCAAAACATTACATTGTTTTTCTTCTCTGTGAATTCTACCGTTAATAATAGTAATGTTTACTTGGAATAACATTGCTCCTTTTGTTTCTTTGATCTGATTGGAAATCATTAAAGGGGTGAATTTGATTGAAAAATGAGGCCAATTATCTCTCCTCTTTTCTTTAAGCTTTTTAAAACGTATTACTATATATTGGTAAATTACTTTAGTCTGATAACGTTGGTATCCAGATACCTGCTAACCTTTCCAATTCTTTTAGTATTTTACCTTAACTATTTATTATCTTCTATCTCACAGGTATCGAATAAATCCACACATAAAACTTAGGCATATGAGAAATTAAAATCACCCAGCATTGTTTTTGTTGCCACTGAGATTTTGTAATATTGTATCATTATAGGTTCAATTAAGCTGTATTCGTATCTAATTTTATATTTTATGAATAAATGAAGTACAGTCAGACCTCTCTATAACATCATCCATATATGACAACACTTCACTATAAAAGCCAAGTTTTTTCGGAACCAATTTTTATGTTATGTTATAATATATGTTTTCTATAACATCACTTCACTATAACATCCAAAAATATTCGGAACAAACGAGGCTGTTATAGAGACGTTTGGTTGTACTAATTTGTTTTATCCAAACCTTCTCAAAGCTCTTGATACCCTCTCTTTTTAACCTTGCATTTGTCCCTTTTTGTAGCGAAAAATCGTGGGTTAACTAGCACACAATCACATACAAAGCAAAAAGAAAAGAAAAATCAACACAAGAATTTAACGAGGTTCGACTAAACCTAATCCTCAGGGCAGAAGCAGAGAGACTTTTTGACTATAAAAGAGAAGAAAAACAATACAATCTATAGAATCCCCAACTACATCCCTATAAATAACAAATCTTCCTCTTAGCTTGAATTCTCTTCATCAACAGGAACAACGTTTCTCTACCTTGCCCTCAGCCCTCGCAAGAGCTCTACCCATTGCCAACATCAACCAAGTCTAGGCAACACCTAAACTTGTTAAGAGACCCAATCTCTTTAACTATAGCACAAATCCGTCGATTTTGTTTTGTACTCGAAATAGCTTCTGGATAGCTATTACACTCAAATGCGTCGATGGTCTCTGCCAAACAAATCCCACAGGATTCATATATCTAAGAAGATTCACATTAATTACGTTTACAAACCTATGCAATCGGTTAATCACTCTCTTCTCTCTGCATGTTGCAATGCTATATGGTTGATGTTGCATAGGTGATTAATATTATCATCTTGATCAATATTTTGCACCTCTTCCACTTTCTCTACATTAGAACTACTGGGCTGAGCTAGTGGAAATTTAATTTCTAGCTCTATGCGGTCACTAATATTACGATTTGTTTCTGCTATTGTCTTCTCCCTCTGACTGTCCAGTAAGGCAGATTCATTGAATGTCACATCCCTACTGATAATTAACCCTAAAGTCTTTTGATTTGTGCACCACAACCTATAACCTTTCACTCCAATTGCATACCCTATAAATATGAACTTATCTACCCTCGGTTTCAGTTTTCCATGCCTCACTTCAGCATAAGCAAGACGTCCAAATATCCTCAAATTTGAATAATCAGCAGGCGAAGCGGACCATACCTCAAAAGTAGTTTTAAACTCAATAGTTGTGGATGAAGATTTGTTGACCAAATAACAAGTTGTATTGATTGCTTCAGCCCAAAAATTCTTGCTAACACATGAGTGTGAAAGCATGCTTCATGCCCTATCACAAAGCATTATGTTCATACGTTCTGCAACACCATTCTATTATGGTATTCCGACACAATTATAGTGTCTTATATGCCCTCTCTGCTACATATATCATTGAACTCAGAGTTACAAAATTCTAACCTACTGTCAATCTGAAGACGCTTATACTTTTATTTCTATCTGCCTCTCAATCATCGTTTTTCATTTAACAAATATCGAAAATGCCTCATCTTTTATTTTTAGAAAATACACCCACATAATTCTTGAGTAAGCATCAACCAAAGTCATAAAATACCTGGCACTAATCTTGGAGGAAATTCTGTTTGGACACCACAAGTCTAAATGTATATAATCTAACTTGTCTCTGGACTTGTGCTTTGCCTTCTAGCTGAATTTCGCCTTTGTCTATTTACGAAATGCACAATGTTCATGAAAATTTAAAACTTAATTTTTGTACCTATCCAGCAAATTCTGGTTGCTCAACAAAGATAATCCCTTGTCACTCATATAACTAAGTTGTAAGTGCCACAATTGAGACTGATTCAAATCACCATTTCCAGAAGCTACAATAGCTTTCCCTTTAACTACACCGGCCTGAAGATTATACAATTTAGAATGCAGTTTACCGTTCATGAGTAACATGGAGCGTTTGCACACTTTAAGTATTATATTCTCGAAGTTAAACTTATGCCCTTGATCATCCAAAGACGAAAGGAAATCAAATTTCTCTTTACCAGAGGAACATGCCAACACTCAAGTTTCTGGTAATTCCATCGAACATTATCAATCTGATATTATTAATCACCTCTATTGGTAATGGATTATCCTCTCCTATGTTGACAGTCTCACTGATTTTCTTGTAAGTTGCAAGCTAAATTGTGTGGACACATGTGAAAAGTAGCACCAGAATCAAGAACCCAGGATTTTGTCCATGACTAGAACTCATGTCACAAACTTCCCCTACATAGTCATTATCATCATAATTATTGCCCGTTCCAATATTTGCCGAATTATCTATTTTCTGCTTTCCTTTTTCTCTTTCAACTTAGGACAATCTTGTAACGATTTGGTCGATCATTTTGAGTATTGTAGCCTCGTTCCCCAATTTATTGCTTATTATGTATTTATTTGTTGGTATGTGACTTATCGGGGTGGTTGGTTTGGATCCGGAGGTGTTCCGCAATGAGTTGGGACACTTAGTCCTGAGGTTGGAAGCCTAAGGTGAAAGAGTTGACCGGATGTTGACTTATGTACAAATGACTCCGGGATGGAGTTTTAATGGATCCGATAACTCCATATGGTGATTTTGGACTTAGGGTGTTTCCGTATATGGATTTGGAGACCAGTAGGCCATTTTGGCTTGAATAGGCGAAAGTTGGAAAAATAGAAGTTTGGAGAGTTGAGAAGTTTGCTCGAGAGTTGACTTTGTTGTTACCGAGCTCAGAATTTGATTTTGGATGTTAGAATAGGTCTACTGTGTCATTTATGACTTGTGTGAAAATTTTGAGGCCAATCAGAGTTGGTTTGATAGGTTTCGGCATCGATTGTAGAAGTTGGAAATTCATTAATTTCAATAGGCTTGAATTGGGGTGTGATTCATGTTTTGGATGTTATGTAATGTGATTTGAAGCCTCGACTAAGTTCGTATAATGTTTTAGGATATGTTGGTATGTTTGGATGGGGTCCCGGGGGCCTCGGGTGTGATTCGGATTATGTTTGGACTCATTTTGGGCTTTGTTGGATTGTTGATATCTGTGCTTCTCGTTTCCTCTTTCGCAACCGCGAGAAAAGGGACACGATCACGTAGAGTCTTTTATGGAAGCTGGGCACTTGTTCTATGCGTTTCGATATGGCGGACGCGATTGCGGAGTTCTGTGATTCTGTGTTACGTGAACGCGGGTGTATGAACACGTTCGCGAAGAAGGTATGTGAGGTCTGGGATTCAGACGCGTTGTTCTTTGCGGTCGCGTGAGTAGGTCCGCGATCGCGTAGGTATGAAATTTGGGTCACCGTATTCACAAGCTTGACGGTTGTTGATACCCAATTTTTCCCTGTATATTTTTATATACAAAATACCTTTCAAATGGCATAGGTATGCATATATAAGTATGTCCAAGAATTTCCCTGTTTTTCATTAATTTTTAAAGATTTTTAGAACCAATTTTATTGCCCTATTTTACCAGTAAAAAGCCAATAATTATTTCCCAAATTATCATTTTTTTTATTCACTTATTGTATTCTCATATTTATACCAAAATGTAGCTAAGGTAAGTTTTTCACATTTTTTACAAATTTATTTAGTATTTTTAAAGCTAAATTGCATATAATTGCAATATTAGCCTATTTTAAGATTTAATTACGTTTATAGTTACAAAATTGATTCCAGTATTTTTTATTTAATATTTATATATTATTAATCAATTTAGTACCATTAATTTTGTTTCCAGAAATTATTTTACTATTTTTTATAAAATAAATAAGGGAAAAAAGTGGCTATTTAAACACTAGCCCTACTTATTTCAATTTT